TCAGCGTGGCATTTCATTAAGAGTCCTCATCAACCGTTTGCAATCTTGCTTCTTTCCCCTTGTCCCAGCTGCAAATGAGTAGTTAAGTAAGGGCTAGTGTTGATATCTGGGAACTGTTAGTTGAAAAAATAGGCAAACTTAAAGAGAGACTTCCATGTAAATATGCACAGAAACTGGGTCATTGATGGAGTGCATAGAATTTGGAGGGCTGGACTGCTAGGAATTTACCCAAGGGATACAGAAATGCTGAGGCATAGGAGCACATGTACCCCAATGTTCATAGCAGCACTCTCCACAATAGCTAAAACATGGAAAGAGCCTAAGTGTCCATCAACAGATGAATGGATCCAGAAGATGTGGTTTATCTATACCATGGAATACTACATGGCAATGAGAAACAATGAAATCTGGCCATGTGTAGCAACATGGATGGACCTTGAGGGTGTTAATGCTGAGCGAAATAAGTCAGGCAGAGAAGGACAAATATCATATGTGTGCACGTATAGGAGGATTAGGAGGAACTTGACGGAGGAACAAGGGGGAGAAGAAGGGCGGAAATGGTGGGGGAAAGGGAGAGAGGCAAACCATGAGAGACTCTTGAATGCTGACGAAAACTGAGGACTGATGATGTGGGGGGGAGGGGGGGATGGGCATGGAGGAGGGCACTTTGGGGATGAGCACTGAGTGTTATGTGGAAACTAATTTGACAATAATTTGTAAAAAAAAAAACTGGAAAAAAAAATAAATGATATATTTAGTGCTAAAAAAATAAAAAGTGTGTTGTATTTTAAAGTTTAAAAAAAATAAAATAAAATAGAGCATTTTTATATATTTACATAAAAAAAAAAAAAAAGAATTTGGAGGGCTGGTTGGGATCTGAGAGCATTTCTAGCCAGATAAGAAACAGCCACAGAGAGGGGGGCCTGGGTGACTCAGTCGGTTAAACCTTCCCCTCATAGTTTCAGCTCAGGTCATGATCTCACCATTCCTGGGATTGAGCCCTGCATCGGGTACTGTGCTGACAGCGCAGAGCCTTCTTGGGATTCTCTGTTTCCCTGTCTCTCTGCCCCTCTCCTGCTCACGCTCTTTCTCTCTCTCTCTCAAAATAAATAAGCTTAGAAAAAAGAGCCACAGAAAGGTGATGTCTGTAATCACAGAGTGCATTAGTGACAGAGCCCAGAATGCAGCTGTCTCCTGGATGCCTAACCTCTTCCTTGCCCCTCTGCCACCTCTCCTACAGTGCTGCTTTTAAAATCCATCTCTAGGGGTCCCTGGGTGATTCAGTTGGCTAAGTATCCAACTTTGGCTAAAGTCATGATCTCATGGCTTGTGAGTCCGAGCCCCATGTTGGGCTCTGTGCTGACAGCTCAGAGACTGGAGCCTGCTTCGGATTCTGTCTACCCCCCACCCCCGCTTCTCCCCCACTCACAGTCTCTCTCTCTCTCTCTCTCTCTCTCAAAAATAAACCTTAAAAAAAATTTAATATCTAGTGTCCAGAGAAGCAGAATGTTTTCATTAGTCCTTTCTAATTACGTGCCTTTTTAAAAAAATTTTATCCCCTAATAATTAGACCTAATAAGTCCCCTTCAGCAGAAATGGGGAACAGCATCTGAAGTAGCCTTGCAGCCAGAGTCGCAAGCCCCCCTGGCAAGGTACTCTCCTTCTTCCTACACACCTGGCTCTGTCTCCACTCTCAGGCCCTTCCTGTGCTATTCTCCCTGCCCAGAGTGACCTGTTCCCACAGATGTCACCCTGGGTTATACTAGGGTTCACTGTTTCAAATAGGAGTGTGCGTGTGTGTGCCTGCGCACACACAGAGGCCAAGGCCCATGCCTGGCACACAGTAGGTAATCACCCCAGCCAGAAGCCATCTTTGCCATGGCCTTTCTAGTCTGTACTACTCAAGTTACACTTGTTGGTTCTGCCCTGTGATTTGTCTGAGTGTAGATATATTTATCTCCTCAGCTAGATAGTAAGTAAGCTTCTGGGCTAAAGAAGTCATGATTAATATGTTTTGTTTCACCACAGTGTCTGCTCAGTTCCTTGCACATAATTTGCACCTGATAAAAACGGTTAAACATGGGGTGCCCGGGTGGCTTAGTCGGTTAAGTGTCCGATTTTCACTTAGGTCATGATCTCGCGGTTCGTGGGTTCGAGCCCCGCGTCGGGCTCTGTGCTAACTGCTAGCTCAGAGCCAGGAGCCTGTTTCAGTCTGTGACTCCCTCTCTCTGACCCTCCCCTGCTCATGCTGTCTCTCTCTCTCTCTCCTAGAAATAAATAAAACATTAAAAAAATATATAAAAAAAAAAAACGGTTAAATATGAACAACTTCCTTTTGAGGAAATTGCCTTAAGCAAGCTATAAGAGGAAAGCCTGGAAATTCTAGTACTTGTGAGGACTGGTGAATAAATCTAGGTCTTGCAAACTTCTCTGATACCCAGCCCAGCCCGAGGTATATAAATTGAGATTGTCAGGATTTAATACACGTGGATTTAGTTCTGCTATCCTGGGTGTGGATGTTTTCTTTGCCTTTTCCCCCCGCTGTTGTGTTCTGGTTGTCTAGGGCCTGCCAGGATCGTAACACACAGTTGTCGAGTCCTGCCCTACCCTGAGTAAGAAGCTTTGCTGCTGCTCAGGGGCCTCATGCCAGGAGTGCCACACTCAACTTCTAGGCTAGCCTGCCTTGGGCATTAGTCCTCTTGGCTTTGGACCATTCTACCAGTTTGGCTAGCTGACTGCTTGGCCATGGGTATGTCTGGCCAAGTCTGCAGCCTGGAGGGAATCTTCCAGGCATGTTTGGCCTTCAGGGACAGAGTAATCTGACATCCATTTTAATGGCTTATCAACTTGTTCCTCTAACAGGGCAGTGCCGAGGCTGCCCATGGCCGTGGTTAAGGTGTGGTTGCTTCCTGAAATGGCCCAATCTCCTGTCCTTCCTGTGTTGACATCAAGCTCTCACAGCTTTCACAAAAGTCTCTTCAGCCAGGAAGGCTGAAATGGTGACACAGCAGCACAGCTCAGTTGGAAATAGTTAACACAGTCAGGGTTCATCTGAAATCTAGAGACCCTGAGGAAAAACTTGGAGCCTCCCCCACTTCTGAGCTGGCTCCACTGAGATCTTGCTCTTGTCTCACTGCACTAGCTGCCTGTAGTCACGCCCTAGCAGAGAGCGAGTAGCCTGAGCTCTCGGCTAAGTAGCATTTTAATGTTTTCAGACAGCCAGACTGAAGACTTGAAAGCAACCTAAAGAACCAAAGGGGATGGGAGGAGTATAAGTCCAGGAGTCAGATGGATCCGAGTTTGAATCCAGGCTCCACCACTATCCAGCCGGTGACTTTGACTAACCCAGTAAACTCTGAGCCTCGGGTTCCTGGTGGGGGCTGCCTCTCAGAGAGCGCTGCTGCGAGGTGAGCTGTGTAAACACTTGACACCGTGACGGGCCCAAAGAAGGCTCTTGGCAGCAGTTCCTGTATTTCCTCAGCCTTGTCCCACCTCACCCTCCTGCTTCCATTCCCCTGTGCTGCTGTCGCAGAAAGGCATGGTTTCCTCCTCACCACCTGGACTAGGTCTTTATTTTGTTCCCTTTGCTTTTTTTCATATTGCAACAGGCATCCCGGGCCCAAATCCTAGACAAAGTCACAGATTATATCCAGTATATGCGAAGGAAAAACCACACACACCAGCAAGATATCGATGACCTCAAACGGCAGAATGCTCTCCTGGAGCAGCAAGGTGAGCACGTGGGCCAGTGGGGCAGCGGCCCTGCTGTGCTCCGGCCAGGTCAGGGCTTCGCACCTGGGCCTGCAGAGTCAGAACCAGCCATGGAGCGCGTGCTCATAAGTGGCTGCCGCCCTACTTCTTGGGCCTGAATAGTTGAGTGTTAGAACCATCCTGAGGAAGGACCTGAGCCGCCAGTGAGGGAACAGTGGAGTCTAGGGGTTGGACATTCGGAGACTTTTTTCTGACCTGATCTCTCCCCTTCCTGGGACTCAGGTGCCCTGCCTGCAGTAGGGGTCACACCTGGCATCAGGTGTCTCAAAAGTGCTTTGAGGTCCTTGGACTGGCGTGTACCGTGTAAGTACCAGAAACTCCAGGTTTTCAGGGACAGCGAGCCCTCCCCTTTGTCAATGGTAGTCCAATCAGGGCAGCCTATGGGCCAGGCCCATGCTGTTCTCCAATGCTCACACCCGCCTTTTCCTATAACCACAGGGGAAAGCGAGAGCTGATCAAGTTCTTTGTTCCTGGGGAATTCACTTCTCTTCCTCCCTCATGGAAGATGCAAGTAAAAGGAAATGCAAGTAACCACCTGGGTTAGAACACCTCAAATAAAATAAAACAAAATAAGATAAAATAAGATAAAATGAATGCGTTGACCTTCCAGGCTCAAGATGAGCTGAACCCCAAGGGATGGGCAGCGGGGGGCAGCAGCGGGTTGGTTACTGGGCCACACAGCCTGCATGTAGGGGCTGTGTGTCAAGAGGCCCAGGTATGCTGTGTGTATTGGTGACTTGCTTTCAAGTGTCCAGCTTGTCTTTCCAAGTGGATCTTGTACGAGAGCTAAGCCAGAACTTTTCTTTGGCTGACACATCTTCTGTCATCCCTTCCTGCTGTGGTGTGGCCTGCACACCCTTGTGGAGCCTGGCATTGCCAGGCCAGCTTCTCCTCTGTCATTGTGCTGCTGGGTCCCATGGGGGCTTATGCTCCTGTCTCTACACTCGACTTCCATGGCAGGACGGTGACATCACTAGCCCTCTCTTTAGGGTTGGGAGACATTGCAGAGTGGCTGGCCATGTCCACTGGGCCCCCAGGTCTGGCTGGGAAAGGATGAGGGCAATGAAGTGTGTGGGTGGAACAGGCACCTGAAGGGAGTTACTTCTGAGCCACCCTGAGCCTTGGGGGCCAGCAAGCCCTTCGGAAGAACAGGCTGGACCCTGAGCTGAGACTCGGTTGCTCCCCTAGTCTCCAGAAGGCTGTAACCTGCCCACTTCGTTGCCTTTCAGTCCGTGCACTGGAGAAGGCGAGGTCGAGTGCCCAACTGCAGACCAACTACCCCTCCTCAGACAACAGCCTCTACACCAACGCCAAGGGCAGCACCATCTCTGCCTTCGATGGAGGCTCAGACTCCAGCTCGGAGTCGGAGCCCGAAGAGCCCCAAAGCAGGAAGAAGCTCCGGATGGAGGCCAGCTAAGCTCCGCGGGGCAGGCCAGCAATACAAACTGTCTGTCTCCTCCATCGTCCCATCCTCCTTTCAGTTCATCCTTAGAACCCTCAGAACCATTTAAGAGACTCTTTTTTTCCTCTTTTTTTTTTTTTAATTTTATTTTTACGTAGAAGCTCTTGGACAACAGCTCTCGTTCTCCTTCCCCATTTCCACCAGTTTTTTTTAATGTTTCCCTTCAGGGATTCCCTGTCCCCACCAGGAATTTTTAAACCAAAATACCCCAACTTGGCAGCTTTTTCTGTGGAGGACAGACGGCCGGCCGGACCTCTGAGCACATGGTGTCCTGACCACCCACCAGCTCCTCCAGCCCTGCTGGGCACGTGCCCGAAGGACTCCTGTCCCTCCCAGGCCACCCTCACCTCCGTTTGATAGACTTTGTGAATCTGTGGACTGCTCTACTTTAAGAAGATGACCGGTTTGGAGTAATCAGAATTAATCCCCCTTCTTTTTAAGGATTTTTTTTTTCTAAAAAGCTATTTATCGCTCCTTTTGAAAGGCCAGATCCTTGAAGAAGTTTGTGGTATAAAAACAAGTGGGGACAGATTTGCAGCACAGTCCTTGGCCTGTTTCACTCCTGCTTCTCTCAGCCAGCTTTAGGGAGGGCTGCGTGACACTTGTGTGGTATGTGGGGGACAGCGGGCAGCAGTGAAGTGGTAGCCTCCAGGGGGTGGTAGGGGGCGGGATAAGGAGGGAGGAGCGGGTCAAGTAGAGGTTTTGTATTGATGGCCAGTGATAATGTTTTGATATTTATTTCCTGCTACTGAAATTTGAATCTGAGTGAATTGTCCCTATTTCTGATGATGTCGGTATTGCAAAGCGACAGATTCATAAAGTAATGATCAAATCTTCCTTTCTTTTCGTGTGTATTTCTAAGAAATAGAGCCAACTGATTTTGTATGTAAATACCAAGAGCAATTTACCTGGTACTAAACCCGCACCCCAGTGCGGACCCTTCCCCACCCTGACCCCGTTCCTGTTCAACTGTCCTGGGGCCCGTTCCCAGGCTGTGATCCAGCCCTGGTCCTGGCTGCGGTCAGCAGATCCCAGTGAAGGGTTTTGTGTGTGTAGGCCTCATTTCTTTGTCTTTTTCCTACTCCGTTCCTGGCATTTGCTGATTTCTAGTGTGTAGTCAGTCTCAGTCCGTGTTTGATTCCATTCCATGGAAATAAAAAGTATGTTGTACATACTGCCCAAGAATTGTCTTGCAAGTTAAGGCTTTCCCCTTTACTATAAGACTATAAATAAAAACTTATTTTATCCTTTTTGGTGGTGGTGTCTTCTTGCCCTTGCAGAGGCCAAGACAGTTAGGGGAGGAGCCCTCTGGAGGCCGCGGGGCCCCTGGGGAAACCTGAGAGGGAAGCAGAGGTCACTTATGTGGGCTTGCCAAACGGAGAGCTCCTCTGAGCCAGACAACCCCCTTTTTGTTCTACAGGCTCAGCTCAGCTGGGCCGGCTAGGGGGTGGGTAAACCAGTGGTGGTGACTTTGCTCAGTGGATAGAAGCTTTTACAGTTCCAGCAGGGATGGGGTTAACCAGGGCACCATTTCTAGATACAGCTCCCACTAAATAAATGACCCTTGGGGAATTGGTAGCCCAGAGCTGTGGGTTTGGGTTTCTCCTGACAATGAATGCCCAGTTCAGAGGTGACTGGTATTCTCTAGGTCCATTGAGTTTCTAGAGAATTCCACCACAGAGGAGGCAGCGGAGCTGCCAAGGCCTGGTAGTAAAGGAGGCTTCCACAGCATCAAGTTAGCTCCACTTGGCCTCGGGACCAACACTGGCCTGAACTCACTTGACTTTGAAAAACGAGGAGAGTTTATGGCCAGAACACAGCCCAGCTTTGGTTTTCCTGTCTGGCTGAGAGGAAATACTGCTATTCCTGGACCAAGGGAGGGAGTGAAGTTAAATCAGTTCTTCTATTTGTCCCTCTCTTTAGAATGGTAGTGCAGGGCCTTCTGCCAACCAGATGTCAAATTCACAGTGTCCCTTTTTGGTTAGTAGGACTTGACAAGTAGGCTGTGTTTCTACAACAGGCAGTTTGGAATGTGACCAAACCAACCCCCCCAAACCATGACTGCAGTTAGGAAACCAAGGATACCGGGAGAACGACATCCCATTTATTAAAGGTGCTCCTCTCTTAAGACAGGAAAGAGACAAGAATAAGAAAATGGGAACAAAGTCGGGTGATTTAATAAGCCCTCAAAGTTAGCATGCCTTCCTCTCTTTAATTGCACTTTACCGTATCTCTGTGTATGTCCGGCCTCAATTATAAACCTCATATGCAGTTGGCTGGATCAAGGTGGGCCTTAGAAACAAGCCGCAGGTGAAGCTGCGGTTCCAATGTGGAGGGAACACGCAGCTGGGCGCCCAGGAGGCAGGGGAACAGAGCGAAGACCAGTCAAGCCAGCGCGACGACAGGTGATGTCCCTGAGAGCCAGCCCTGGCTCCAGGATATTGGCTTTCAAAGAAGTTGAGTTTTAGGTTTCTCAAAATTTCAGTAAACCAGTTGGAAGAAAAGGGCTACAACGGATCTCTGGTTCCTGCGAAAACTTGATCTACCTAACTGACATGCGCAGACTGGCAAGTGGTGGAGGAAAGCTGGGGCCGCCGGGAGCAGCTGCCTGGAAAGGAAAGCAAGGTAAGAGACCCAGCGAGATCGTGCTTGCTACAGGGAATAAACCAAAGTCATGGCCAAGTTCCTTCCGGTCTGTCTAGGAAGCTAATATATGTACACCCCCAGGACATTGAAGGGTGACCAGGGCTTGCTTTCACAGCGAGCCAGGCGCTCCAGCAGCCCTGCATAAAGCCAGAGAACCTGCTGGGTCACTGCGGCAGGTGGCTTCGCCGACGGTCCTACTGAAAGCCACCTCTTGTTCTTTTGCAGTGGCAGGCTTGATACTTTCCCACCTTTATGATTTCCCTGAGTGCAAGGGTATTTTAAAATGGCCCAGTTTAAAAAAATTTTTTTAATGTTTTTATTTTTGAGAGAGAGAGGGAGAGTGCAAATGGGGGAGGGATAGACAGAGGGACAGAGGATCTGAAGCAGGCTCTGTGCTGACAGCAGAGAACCCGATGCGGGGCTTAAACTCACAAACTGTGAGATCATGATCTGAGCCGAAGTCGGACAGCTCAACATGGACAGCCATCCAGGCACCCCTTAAAATTCTTGATATGCTAATGCCATATGTAGAGTCGCTAAAGCAAAGAATTACCTCAGCTCACAGAGCTATCATCCTAGCTGGGAGAGGTTTGAACAAGATTAAGTAGATGACCGGAGTGGAGCCCAGACCTAGGACTGAAGAAAGCAGAACTCTGTTTCTAATAATAGAGTACTTTCTGCTTGGATTCTGAAGTCAGACTACCCGGGCTCAAAATCCTGGTTCTGTCAGTCGCTGGGAGTCTCCGGTGAGTCCCTTCTCTCAGCCTCAGCGTCCTCACCTATGAAGTGAGGATAGTGATAGTGCTAACCTCACAAGGTGGCCATGAGGGTTAGATGAAATAAGGCTTCTGATGTGCTTGACCTCAGGTCCACATGAGCACTCAGGTGCCAGGGGTCATTATCTCCAGCCTTCCCTGGAGTATGTGAGGGTGCGTATCTTGGTGACCCATCCCTGAGATGTGCCCTGTCCTTACAACTTTTGGCTCCCAAAAGTAAAATAACGCAGAGAACAAAAAGAAGCTGTTGAGGAAAGTGAGGCACAGCTGAGCTGAATTAGCCAAGTGACTATAAGGCCAGGCTCTTTTTAAGACTATTGGGAGAAAAGCGGGGGAAGCGAGAGGGGTTTGGCAAGCCATCCACTTGCTAGGACTGCCTTGATGGTGTTGCCCTTATCCCACTGGGGCTCTGCACTCCTGAGGGCCGGCTGAGGGCTGCCTAGCCACCCACTGTTGAAGCCCCACGCAAGCGTGATGGCACGGGGCCACACCCACTTTTATACCCTCTCCCTGGTTGCCGGGCAGGTCTGTAGGCCAGCCAGAGCAAGGCAGTCTCTCAGGCCTGTTGGCCAGGCTCCCTTCTGGACAGCCTCTGGGAACATGAAACTAGAGCCTTTCTTTGTTCAAAATAGTTTCTCTAGCCTGAGGAGGAAACCTGGGTAAGGAGAAGGAGTTTGCCAGCCTCTCCACTGGTCGTACCGAAAACCCATGGTAAGAACTCGGACCCTTCTGAAGGGTCCTGAAGCCCGGATCATGAATGGGCAAAGACAGAACGTTCTTCAATGTGTGGGGTTTACTAAGGCATGGACTAACTAATACAGGGGCAGGCTTTCCTTGGGAAGGGGATAAACAAACAAACAAAAACAAATATTTCTACTTAATTCCTGAGGTGGAAATCAAATTGGCCAAATGCCCTATCCCTGGACAAGTTTGGATAAGCAGGCTTAACTGTACCCAGGACTAGAGTGGCGGCATCAGGCAGGCCCCCACTTGAGTTTTGGAGGCTCTCCCAGCAAACCATCAGGACCAGCTGCTAAGTGTCGTCACTGCTTCCTCAGGGTCGGGTCGGGTCGGGTCGGGTGGGGTGGGGAGCCGAGGAGCTTCGGAGCTAGCGCCTGACTGGTTAGGTTAGGCCACGGGCTCCGAGCTCGCCCGTCTGGATTGGCTCTGGGTGATACTGCCCTGGTTTCCTGAGGCATAACGTGAGGACAGCAGTGGTACCAAGTGCCATTGTGAGGCGTGAAGGCCTAAGTGTGAAAGTCCTTGAACTGTGCCTGGTGCTTGTTAAGTACTCAGATGTAGTTAGGTCTGTCTGCCGTCACAGGTCCCGGGCTGTGCCACCATTTCTGTTTGAGTTGTGTTGAAATACGGAGTGAATAACTTCGGTCCTTCAGCGCATTAAAATCCTTAAAAGAAAGGGGAGGTAAATATGTTGAATACCAAAGGGTGCTTTCTGATGGAGCTCCGGCAAAACCACAAATCTGCTCCCTTTGGGAAAAGTCTGGACTTGGGAAAGACATATATCTTTGCTGGCAGACTTAGAACCATTAATGGCTACCATCCTGGTTACTACTCCTCCCTGTTCTCCACCCTGGTTTTAAATGGGATTTCTGTAGGGCCTGCTGGCCTGCACCATGCTATGCACAGAGATACTGCAAATGCCTATCTGGTGACAGCCGGATGTTTCCTGCCAGGGCCCTGGGTACAAGAGTGGTTGAGCCCTTGGGTTTCAGTCTTCCCTCTCGGGGCCCTGTGAGCCGAGCTGCCCACAGGGATGAGGTGGGGACAGCCTAGCCTGTTGGCTCCATGTGGTCTGACCACTAGACCCCAAGGCCCACAGGCTGCAGCTCACGCTGGCTGACACGTGAATACCTTGTGCACAGACACCCAGCAGGATGGGCGTGTCTAGAAAAGAGCTGAACAGGTGGCCCTGGACAGTTCACAACCAGCTGGGCAGGCTCCCTCCTGTGCCCTGTGCGGGATGCCAGCTGCACCAGCAGGCCGTTTCTGGCTGCCAGGCCCCATTTAGGATTGTTTTCCTCCAATGTCCATGGCAGAAATGGGGCCCTTCTATGCCTATAGCCTTTTCTGGGCAAAATTGTCCAGCACAGTGTCTCTTCATTTTTCCCAGTAAATTAAATGTCAGGGGCAGGGGAGAGGGAAGAATCAAGGATCCAGTGTTGGGAAATCTGTGCCAGAACCTTCCACTCCAGTGCTGAACATGGTGAGAGTTTGAGCCTCCCGCCAGGAAAAACAGAAAGCTGACGGCTACCCTAGCAGGCCAGTAATGGAAGGTACATACTCCATAAGCTGGCTCCTGCAAGGGCCCAATGGGCCGTGCAAAGTCTGGTTCAATAAACAACCAAATGGGCGTGCAGAGCTGCCGCCCACACCCTCACTGCTCAGCCGCTGGAGGAGTCCAGCTGGCAGGGTGGCTCCCACGCACATGCTTGAGAGCTTCATTGTTTCTTATCTCCCAGTGCCATCAACAGCTCGGAGGTGGCAGGGGCAGAGCTGGGGCTAAAGGACAGTGGCTGATGGCTTTAGGCCAAAGGCCAGGGCAAGGCCAGCCAGCTGAGAGAAGGAATGTCACGTCCACAGCAAATACCCACCACAAAGCCAGTGGGAGACTTCAGCTAGAGGAACACTCTGGTTCAAACAGCTTGACTAGGTTTCCCGGCAGGAAATGAGTCCAGGGCCGCCTGCTCAGCAGGGAGCTGCCGTGAACACATAGGCAGGCATTTCCAACCAGGGGCTCCCACGAGGCCAGGGACTGGTCTTACTGCTCGCTGCTGCACCCCTATCACAGTGCCTGGCCTGTCACTGGGT